CCAATTCTGACATGAATGCTAATGGCCTAGACCCTTCAGAAATTAAGGTTTGGGTCACCCCACCAGGCAAAGAACCACAACCAGTTAAGGGGCTTGCTGAGGGCAAAGGGAATACGGAATAGGTGGTGGAAGAGGGTAGTTCTAAATAGTAGTTACCACCAAGTGACCAGCTGCAGAAATGAGGACTGTAATTATTATGAATATTTCTGCTTTGTATGTGTGCATCACATATTTTTGTTTCCTCCACTTATAAAATGTAAGATGTAAACAGAGCTAGTGCATTTTCAGTTGTACGTGTGTTCATTGTATCATGTTATGCACAAGTACGACTTTATAATTGTCTTTATTCAGAGATTATGTCTGGTTTAAGGAGATGTGTACAGGGGCCAAGTTGACAAGAGGTGGGCTGTGATGGTTAAAGTTGTGTGCCAACTTGGCTGGGCCATGATTCTTAGTGGTTTGGCAGTTATGAGGTAGTCTGGCAGTTGTATGATGTTGTGATCATTTCCATGATGAGATTTAACATGTTATCAACTCCATGATGGGATCTGATGTGAGTAGCCAATCAGTTGAAAAGGAGTTTCCTTGGGCATGTGGCCTGCATCGAATGTAAATGGACATTCTGGCAAGGCTCGTGGGCTTTTTTCCCCTCTGGATCCTGCAGCTGGCTCCAGTTCATCTGACCTCCAGTTCTTGGAACTTGAGCTAGCAGCTTACCTGCTGTCTTGCCTGCCAATCTCGGGATTCATTGAACTTCAAAGGCTGTGATCAATAGCCCTGCTCTTTGACCTGTCAATCTTGGGTTCGCCAGCCCCTGCGGCTGTGTGAATCAGGGGAAGCCTCTATCCTGACCTATGGACTTGGGATATTCCAGCCTCTACAACCCGGTGAGCTATTTCCTTGATATAAGTCTCTCTCTATATATATTTATACACTTTACTGGTTTTGCTCTTCTAGAGAACCCAGCTAAAGCAGCACCCATGGTTGATAGGTTTCAGGTGAGCTTCCAGACTAAGACAGACTAGGAAGAAGGACCTGGCAGTCTACTTCCGAGAAAAGTTAGCCAGTGAAATCCTTATGAATAGGAGCGGAACATTGTCTGATACAGGGCTGGAATATGAGCCCCTCAGGTTGGGAGACACTCAAGAGATGACTGAGGAAGAGCTGACTCCTCAAAGTAGAGTCAATCTTAATGACATAGATGGAGTCAAGATTTCCGGACCTTGATTTGCTAATGTAGCATGGCTCAAAATTAGAAGGAACAGCTGCAAACATCCATTAATAATAGGAATGTGGAATGTATGAAGTTATGAATCTAGGAAAATTGGAAGTCATCAAAAACGAAATGGAATGCATAAGCATCGATATCTGTCTTAGTCATCTAGTGCTGCTATAACAGAAACACCACAAGTGGATGAATTTAACAAAGAGAAATTTATTTTCTCACAGTCTAGTAGGCTACAAGTCCAAATTCAGGGCATCAGCTCCAGGGGAAGGCCTTATCTGTTGGCTCTGGAGGAAGGTCCTTGTCGTCAATCTTCCCCTGGACTAGGAGCTTCTCTGTGCAGGAACCCTGGGTTCAAAGGACGTGCTCTGCTCCAGGTGCTGCTTTCTTGGTGGTATGACGTTCCCATTCTCTTCTGGCTTCCGTTTCCTTTTATCTCTTGTAAGATAAAAAGTGGTGCAGGCTACACCCTAGTGAAACTCCCTTAACATTGGATCAGGGATGTGACCTTAGTAAGGGTGTTACAGTCCCACCCTAATCCTCTTTAACATAATCCAATCTTGCGCCATTAACCACAGGCAGAGATTAGGATTTACAACATACAGGAAAATTACAATCGCAAAATAGAGGACAGCCACACAATACTGGGAATCATGGCCTAACCAAGTTGACACATATTTTTGGAGGACACAATTCAATCCCTGACAATATTCTAGGCATTAGGGAGCTGAAATGGACTGGTATTGGCCATTTTGAATCAGACAGGCATATAGTCTACTATGCTGGGAATGACAAACTGAAAAATAGTGTTGTGTTCATCGTCAAAAAGATCATTTAAAGATTTATCCTGTCTCACGTGTTTTGTACAAGTTATCAGGAGGGACCATTCCCTGGAGAAGGACATCATGTTTGGTAGAGTACAGCATCATTGAAAAAGAGGAAGACCCCCACCGAGATGGATTGACACAGTGACTGCAACAATGGGCTCAAGCATAGCAATGATTGTGAGGATGACGCAGGACCAGGCAGTATTTCGTTCGGTTGTACATAGGGTCGCTATGAATTGGAAATGACTAGATGGCACTAACAACAACAGGATCTTGTTTAGTAGACCCTTCATGGTCCCCTTAGTATTTCTCCAATTTGTTCTACTTTTAGTATTTTTGAGGGTTGTTTAAGTTTCCTGAGATGCAGTAAACTCTTTGCTGCTTCAGGATCTTTGCCCGAGGGTTCTCTGCCTAAAACGCTCTTCCCCCTACTCTCTTTGCCTCGCTAGCTGCTACTCACGCTTCACATCTCAGCTTAAATGTCCTTTTTCTCCCAGCAGCCTTCATAGACCACCTTCTAAAATTGGCCACTCCAAATTCTTCTCCCATACACCCTGCTGTTTTCTTCCATAGCATACATCTTAATTTGTAGTTGTATATTTATTTGTGTTCATTTGTTCATTATCTGTCTTTCTCATTAGTCTGTCACCTCCATGAGGGCAAGGCCCATGTCTGCTTTGTTTAGTTATAAACCATAGCACTATTCAGATAGCCTGGCACACAGTAAATCCACAATGAATGAATGACTGTTACTATGCTGTCCATTTACCATCCTTCAATAGTCATGCATCTGGACCCCAGGGAAGTTCCTGCTCAAAGGTGCTGGAAGTCATTCTAGCTCCTGAAAACAGCAGTTTTTATAACTGGATGGTGGGCAAACCACAAACCAGTCCAGCAAAGCACAGGAACAGAATTTATCGCACCAAGCCCCTCTCACACATGATTACTCCCCATTTCCCGTCTTGCATTCTCAAGTAGGAATGAAACCAGGAGGAAATGTTCTGGGCCATAAGACTTACAGACAAGCTACAAAGCTGGGCTATAAACCTAGGTAGGAGGAATAAAGCAGCTTGCTTATATAACTTTAGCAAGATAACCAAAGATGCTATTAACTTGCACAGAAGAATAATTTTCCCAGGGAAATAACACCATCTGACACCCACACTGTGGGTTTCCCACATATGGATATGCCAGTGTTTACTTAACCATTACCTTACTTCCACAAATATTTAAGAAGGTTTACTATGTACCTGTTGTGGTATGCACCGTCCCTGCTTTAAAGACACTTAAAAGGAGCTACTTGAGAGACAGTTGATGAAAGGATTAAACTATTATGACGATAAAATATAAATACCCTATGTATAGGAGCAGAGGGGGCAAAGGATAACGGGACACCTAACTCTGTGGAAGTCTTCAAGGAGGAGGTAGCACTAAACAAAGACTTGATGCATGCTTGCTTGGCCAACAGACACAAGCAGTGAAGGAAGGGCATTCCAAGAGGAAAAAAAAATGTGCAAAGACAATGGAAGGGTGATACGTAAAGCGGGAAACCGCTGAATGGTGAGCAAGGGGTGAAAGCGCCGGATGGCGGCTATGCAGAACTAAACTGCCATTTCCTCTATCACGGCCTCAGTGCGACTGCGCCGAACCGAAGACGTCGGCATCATTACAAGAGCTGTCCAGCAATCCTGATGGACCACGCCCCTGAACATGCCCTGAAGAAGAGCCCACTGCTATTCTGTTTCCTCCCCATAGATAAACACCTGTGCCTGCCAATCAGGGAGCCATCTTGTCGACGCAGGTACTGCTGAGCTCCTTTTCTCAGCAAACCAAATAAAGTTTTTCTTTCTTCGGTTTTGCGGGACTAGTGCCTCAGTTTCGCGCCGAGCAACACCTGGAGGTGCGAAAAGATACGAGACTCTTAAGTAGTTTTTCAATTGTTGGAATGTGGACTGCAAGTGAGAAGTGGTGGAGGTAGAGTCAGACACATAAGCCAGCCGTAGTTAAATCACAAAGGACCTTGCAAAGGATCTTAGCAAATAGCTTGTGGGCAATGGTCAGCATTTACAAGGTCAAAAGCAACATTAAGTTTACCTCAGTCCGTTATATTGGCAGTGTGGAGGATGGAGCGGACTAAGAATGGACAGAAGCAAAAAAGGTTACTGCAATGGTCTAGGGATGAGATGAGTACGTGAACCAGAAAAGAGGTTTAAGATGTTTGAGATCTACTGGAGATACTACACTGTCCAGTATGGTGCGGTGGAGGTAAGCTTGGAGATGAGTCAAGGATAAAGCCCTTCTTTTTGCCTAGGGCAACTGGCTAGTTTTACCAAATTGGACCTTAGGTGGTAGAAGATGGGGTGCTAAAGGAAACAAGTATTCAGTTTTTAACAAGTGGATGGTGAAGGTCTGCACCCAGGTGAACAGGACGCTAGGAAGCTGCTAGAAGTCTAGGATTTTTGAGCAGGATTTGGGTTAGAGATATGGACTTGTGGCGTCATTAGAGTGGATTAGATAGTCCAGATTTGAACGGGGGAAATGACAAATCTGGAGAAGAACAAATATATAATTTAATATGAAACCATTCAGTTTTACAATTCCCCCTTCCTCAGCTTGGACTATGGCACACTTAATTTCCTAAAAGGCTCAGGAAAACCAGGGTGCGAAGAGGCTTCGCGCTCCAGCTGCCAGAGTTGGGAAGGCTGCCTGGTTTTCCAGTTTGACTCCTCTGGAAGATTCGGACTCCCGCCGCACTGGCCCAGGAAACTTGCAGCAACCATAAAACTGCAGCCTGTAAAGGCCCCCGCTCCCACGGGCTCGGCGCTGAGCCTAAACGTCATCAACGGCCGCCACTGCCGTCCAGCCTCCTGCGGGGGCCTTCGCTCCGATCTCGCCCCGGCCAGCTCGGCGCTGCGCTTAGACGTCATTAACGGCAGCCACCCCGGCCTAGTCTTCTCCAAAGGCTGCGGCTCCTACAAGGCCCGCAGGCTCGGCGTTATTCCTAGACGTCATCACCGCGAGTCCTCCCGCCCCTCGTGTTCAAGCTGCGCGGGCGCGGGCTGTCAGCCCCAAAGCCTGGAGCGGTGGCGCTCCCTGCCGCCGCACCCTCGCATCATGTTCCCGGCTGTCCCTTCCCCTCGGACCCCTGGTCCCGGGTCCCGAAGGGGCCCGCTCGGCGGGATCGGGCCGAGCTCCACACCCCGGGCTGCAGGCAGGAAGGGGCTGTCCCTGGGGTCTGCAGTCAGCTCCCCCGTGCTCTTCTCGCCGGTCGGCAGGCGGAGCTCGCTGAGCTCGCGGTAAGTATCGCTCCCCGGGTGGGTCCGACAATCGGCTGGCTCACGGGTCTCGTTGGGCCTAATTGGGTAGTGTCTCCACAGTCCTATGGAAATCGGGGTGAAATTCCACAGTATTGGGAAAATAGCCCTCTGCCACCCTTGCCCGTTGCTATTTCGGCCTCACCTTGGTTAATCCGTCAATTGAGTCATCGCTTTGCACTTTTCATGGAAATTACCTTTGTGCTGAAGTGAAGAGTAGACTGAATTTAAGTCATTGATCACCCTTCTCCCCCTTACTACCTCTGTGACCTGGAGTAAGCCACTCGGATTCTTCTCACCAGTGAAATACCTGATGTGGAGCCTGCTTTACTAAAGCCAAGGGAGTAATGAAATACTACGATGCAGGTGTGATGATGGTAATGGGGACCTCCAGTCCTAGAAAAATCATTCTGTAATGCCTAACAGCCTAGGCCATTAGTATCTCTGATGGATAATTAAAGGGCTTTTAGCTGCAGAATTTCACTTTGTACCTAAATTAATAGGGAAAAGGCTTTCCATAAGGAGTGGGATAAGAGTAGTAGTTTTGTAACCAAATACACGTGTAGAACAGCTGTCCACATTGTTACCGCAGTAATGTGGATTGGAACCGCCTGCCGCAATAGCCAATTCTGAGACGGAGGTGAGGTGAGCAGCAAGATGTTTATTATATATCGATATATAGGAGACGGAGGGGAATAGATTCCCCCACTGTAGATCGGCTGGAGTCCTTTATAGGGACAGGATTATGGATCTTTTGTGGTAGTTTCCCCTTGAGGTGGTGATGTCTTAGATGAGTTAACCTTCCACTGGTATTCTTAGAGGTTATCTGGTGACATCTTTGGGGATTATCTGGCAACATCCTGCTTACTCTTGTCACAAGATGGATGCTTTGTTTGGTTTTTCATTCTTAGATCATTATCACTTGTTTTCCACCCTCCGGGGAGGAACATCAGTTAATCTTAAACCTTTTTGTAGAGACTAGAATGAGGGAAAAATCATGAGACAATGTGGCGGTTAGCAATGGGGAGTAAATAATAGTGAGCTGGGCCTATACAGCCTCTTCCAGTCCCCCTTTTATTGGAAGTTTCTCAATCTTGGGAAACAGGGCGTTGCTTATTTTCTGGCTACTTCCTGCTGGTTAGGGGCATCCGCTAGGGTGAGAAACCTCCCGATATTGACTAGGGGCTGTAGGCTGGGGGTGGGGGGAGTGAGTTAGAGTGGAAATCGGCTGTATCCTGGTAAATTAGATGATGTGCATCCCCAGAGCCTGGAAGAGGGGTGTCTCAACTTACCAGGGTAAAAATTTCTCCCACCTTAAGGGTTTTCGCAGTTCTTTTTGTTAATATTCTTGTAAAACAGGGAACACAAAAACAAACTAGAATAATCACTATTCTTAAAGTTCCTCTTTCAGGCTCTTTTATGGCCCACTTAACTGGACCTACTGGAGTTACGGTTGAGACTACACACGGGAGGGTCAGAGTGTCCCCAACTTGCAGGGTCAATGCCCCCTTTGCCTGTAGGATCACCGGCACCTTTTCTGTCCAGGTCTCCTGGAAAAACAGAAAGATAGAGGGAAACAAGGTCAAAATCATTGTGCTATACGCTACTTGAACTTATACTTTAGGCCCTGAATTGGAGTACAAGAGTATGGTGGCTCTTTGTTTTCTGCTTCTTTCTCTTCTGGCGGGGCTGTTTTTACTCTGGAATGATGTACCCATGCAGCTACTCTTGCTAATTTCAGAGAGTGGGTGGTCAGGAGAACTTCAGAGGTCCTTCTCACTGAGAGGCCAGTTGATCTTCTGGTGCTGATTCTTCCAGGCCTTCAACAGGACCCAATCTCTGGGTTGGAACCTGTGGAGGGGAGTGTCAGAACGAAAAGACAAACGAGAAGAAGCATACTGATTAACAGTGTTTATGACAGCTCTCAGAGGACAGACCCAGTCTCTTTTCTCTACCTCAGTCATCACTGAGGTGGGGAAAGTCGACTTTTTCAGGAATGGTCTTCTATATATTAATTCGTAAGGGCTCAGTTGGAGCCCACTTCGAGGGGCTACCCAGATTCTGAGCAGGGCATTGGGGATAACTTGTATCTAAGTGGAGCTAGTCTCCTGGTAGTTTTGCCAAGGCCTTTTGCAGAGTATGGTTCATCTTTTTGGTCTTTCCAGTCGATTGTGGTCTCTAGGCTGAGTGTAATTTCCAATTTATATCTAAAACCTTAATGACTTCTTAGGTGGCTGTTGTCATAAAAGCTCCCCTGTTGTCACACTGTACCGAGATTGGAGGATCAAAACGGTATGATTTCTTTGAGTAACACCTTGGTCACTTCTTGGGCTCATTCTGTTCGACAAAGGAAAGCCTCTACCCACCCTGAGTAGGTGTCCACAAAAATCAGCAGATATTTAAAATTTATTGTGTCCAGGGCATTATACCACTGCCACCTGAAGGGGATCATTGATTGCCTCCAGGAGTTCTAGGATTTCTGGTACATGTTTTATTTCTTCGTTGGCAGATTCAGAAGTCTTTTTTTTCCTACAAGGCACCATGTGAGTGAGGGACCAGATGGGCATATTTATTATCAGTATACACAGTTATGCGTCTTCTTATTCCTAGTTGCAGGGCCTGCCTGAGAACTATGAGTTTAGCCTTTTGAGCTGAAATGCCGGTGGGAAATGGAGCTTCCTCTAAGACCTCAGTTCGTGTTACCACTGCATATCCTGCCTTCTGACATCCTTCGTATAGAAAGCTACTGCCATCCGTATACAATTCTATTTCTGGGTCAATCAAAGGAACATCTGAGAGATCTGTCTGCTAGAATAAACTTCTTCAATTATCTCTAGGCAGTCATGTACGGGGGCATCTTCCGAAATAGGCAACAATGTGGTGGGATTGAGGGAGGAGACAGCCTTCAGAATCATGTTTTGAGTTGTCTAACAAGATTGTCTGACATTTCTCATCCGTCCTGCCGTGAGCCAAAAAGACCCCGCGTTTATTCCAAAAGAGGCAAAACTGTTACGTGGTGTGTTACCATCACCTTTTGTCCAGGAGCGAATTTCTTGGCTTCCTGTAACAAGTCACATGTTGCAGCCACGGCCGGAAGACAAGGGGGCCATCCCCAGGCCGTGTTGTCCAGCTGTTTTGAAAAGTAGGCCACCGGTCACCTGGCTGGTCCCAGGGTTTGAGTTAGTACCCCCACAGTAATTCCCTGTCTTAATATCAGACCATTCAGTGGCAAATAGAGGCTGAGACTCGGGGTGTAGAGGAATACAAAAGAAGGCATCTTTCAAGTCTAGTACTGAAAACCAAGCACGTTGACTGGGTATAGTAACCAAAAGAATATATGGGTTTGGCACAACTGGATGAATGTGCTCTACTATTTGGTTGATTTTTCTTAGGTCTCAAACAGACCAATATTCTCTTGTCTACGGTTTCAACACCGGTACGATAGGGGTGTTGTATGGAAACTGGCAAAATTTTAAAAGTCCAGGTTTTATGCATCGATGTACCAACAGTGTGATCTCTTCTAAAGCTTCTTCTGGTTTATAATAGGTCCTCTAGGTTTTAAAGTAATTTTAACTGGTGTGGCTGACTGGGCTCATCTAGGCCTTTTTTATGCCCAGACTTTTGGATTCACTTTTTGTTGAATATGGAAAGGAATGCCACTACGTGTCATTATTTCTTCTTGTAATAGTGTTGCCTGCAAGGCACATGGCATTTTCAGGTGGGATTTGTAGAAAATGGCAAGGAACAACTCCGCTATCCTATTTGGGTTACTCTGATAAGGAGGACTGTGATTCTTTTAATTATACAAGTTGGAGGTAGAGAAAGGAGTATGTACTAACATTGTTGCTCCTTCGGCTGGAATTTTTCTCAGAGGAAATTGCCCTGCCTGAGCCCCAGCAGTACCCTCACCGAAAACAGTACCCAGACGGGTGTGTGTAGTTGGGGGGAAGACCATACCTGATGAAGTCGGACTCTTACTTCCCGATTCCCTTCCTTCGTC